TATTATTATTATTATTATTATTATTATTATTATTATTATTATTATTATTATTATTATTATTATTATTATTATTATTATCCCTCTCACAGTTACTACTGTTGAATGAGGTACCACCTATACTATACCTGTGCATTTGGTTTTTCTTGCCTAAATGTAGAACCTTGCTTTTTTCACCATTAAATTTCATTTTGTTAGATAGCACCCAATATTCAAGTCTGTCAAGATCCTTCTGTATCTTAAGGCTGTCTTCTGGAATTTGGCTATTCCTGCCAGCTTGCTGTCGCCTGCAAAGTTGATGAGTTCCCCATCTATCCCCTCATCCAAATCATTGATGAAGATGTTGAAGAGCACTGGGCCCAGGACAGAGCCCTGGGGCACCCCACTAAACACTTCCCTCCCTGTAGATGCAGTTCCATTGAGAACCACATGCTGAGTATGGCCGGTCAGCCAACTACAAATCCACCTGGTAGTGATGCTGTCTAACCCACATTTTTCTATTTTATTGAGTAGTGGGTTGTGGTCTACTTTATCAAATGCCTTATTGCAGGCAGTGATAATTGTGGCCAATGGCTTAGCATCCAAAATACAATTACGGCACTGCAGGGAGAGCCCAGCCATCAGAACTTCAAAACTGGGTCCTAAGTAAGGGGAGGGGGCTGTTGTAAATACCACAGTTGTTAAACTATGGGTTCCTAAGCTGAGGACTACCCTGTACCGGTAGTACGGTCCTTCTGCTCAATCAGTTGTCTCTCTTCTTTAGGTTTCCCAGTACTTAAATTGAAAAAGTCACTGCTTCCAATGTTGGGGGTAATTATATACAGGTAGTTCTTGACTTACAACCATTTGTGTAGTGACTGCACAGCCCTGCAAAAAGTGATTTATGACCAATTTTCACTCTTGATGACTGTTGCAGCATCTCCATGATGGGGTGATCAGAATTCGGGAACTTGGCAATTGACACGTATTTATGACAGTGGCCGTATCCTGGGATCCTGTTATCACCCTCTGTGACCTTCCCAGCTGGCTTCTGACAGGCAAAGACAATGGGGGAACCTGGATTCACTTAATGACTCTGGCAAAAAGGTTGTACAATGGAGTGGAACTCACTTAACAACTGCCTTGCTTAGCAAAGGAAATTTTGGGCTCAATTATGGTCATAAATCAAGGACTACCTGTAATCTTCACAAGTATTAGCCATTTGTTGTTGGATTATCTTGGTAAACAGTATAATTATTATTATAATTAGCAATACATTAAATCTCATTCCATCTTTTTTTCTCTAGGGAACTTCTGAATTATATCTCTATAGTCATGGCAGTGTTACTGTATTTATTTATTGTATATGTCTCTGTACCATTGAGTGTTCGACTGTTCCCTTCAATAATAAGAAAATTTGTATATCTCAATTTTTGTAAGTATTCCTATTTTATCTATCTCAATTGAAAATAGAAGTATTTTCTTCCTGTATGCAGGTAGTCATTCACAGATAAATGATTAATTAAGGATTTGTTGGAAACCACTCAAAATATCTTTGTTTTTACCAAATTGACTAAGTTAATCTTTATTGAAAATGTCAGATAATGCAATTGTAACTCAAATACAGGGTGGATCTACATCTTGCTCAAGAAATCCATTCAAAATATTGTTGCAAAAGATCAACTTTAATAGTGTCCCCAAGGTTTCTAAATTACTATGCTGTTAAAGTGATGAATATACTTTTTGCGTAAACATTTTAATGAAAGATGATCACAGTATTATGCATATATGTGGACAAGTTCATGCAGGTTTCTTGGTAACTGAGAAGCCGGTTGGCGAAGGTATTCAGCTGATTTTATCCTTAAACCAGGACTGGAACTTCCAGTTGTAACTTCCATGCTTTTAACCATGATGCCAAACAAGCTCTCCAAAGTCATGCTAATAGTTAAAAGAGGCTTGTTTAAATAAACATTGATAAATTGTTAACAACTGCATAGCATTAATTTCTAATATACTCCACCTGAATGGGGAAGTAGGCCACAGCTATAGATAAAGGAAGTGCTTCCCTTGATATTTTTAATGCTCTCTTCTGTTTTAAAAACAGCATTTATCTTACTAGCCTGATAATAATTGCAGGGATTTTGAGATGATTATCACTGATTTCCAAGTGATATTCTGATTTTCCAAAACTGGGGACTCCTTCAGATTATATCCATTTAAATAAAAATGAATTTAAAAGAAGAAATGGCCAAGCTCTCATCTTATTGCAAAACACAGGATCCTTTGAGATTGTGCCTTTCTTCCAGGTATGAGGTCACAAATCTGACATAAGATTTGTTGATCTTGTGGGAGATCTTGGCCCCTTTAAATACATTTTTAAGAAATTTGGTGCCCATACTATTAAACAAAATCACACAACAGTGTTTGACTCATGAAAACACTGCTAGTCCTTGGTTCAAAATATCACCAGAATCGAGGTTGCATAACTGTAGATCAGGGGTGTCAAACTCGCAATGTCACGTGACGTGTTGCAACGTATCATGACTTTTTTATCCATTGCCGGCAATGGGTTAAGCACGGTTTTGCTATGATGCATCTGGCCCATGGGCCAGCAGTTTGACACCTTGCTGTAGATCATTCTCTCTGAAGAACTTGTGGTTCTGTCCATCACAATATTATTAACCCCCAGCATTCTGTGGGTGCAGGGGGAAAAACTCAGTTAAAGCCACTTTAAGTTTTTGACATTTTCAGAGTCTTTGTCCTGGCATAGGGGGCTGGAAATGGGAGGGGAGGTCAACTGATTTTACAGAAAGCAAACTTCAACATTATTTTCTTTTGCAGTGGCTTACCCTTTTGGAGTAGATTATAATAAGCCTGAGGTATTTGTAAAGAACACCCAAAACTTCTATCTTATCTCTGAACCAGGAATCACTTTTGGCATTTGGTGAGTAATTACTTGGCTCCGTCAGCCTCTTTGGCATAGATTATATAGGTCCAACTTGGAGTTCCCTTGGTCAGGCTCACTTGAGATCAGATCTGTGGCCAAGAGACCGTACTTCAAATGGGTCTAGGACAGGGGTAGGGAACCTTGGCTCTTTTATGACTTGTGGACTTCAACTTCCAGAATTCCTGAGTCAGCATGGCTGGTTCAGGAATTCTGGGTATTGAAGTCCACAAGTCTTAAAAGAGCCAAGATTCCCTACCTCTGGTCTAGGACAACATACTTCAGCAGACTTGCCCAGCCAACTTGCTGCAGGACAATTCAATTCAAATCAGGATAACTCAAGAGAGGGACAAATGAATTGCAGCTCACCCAGCCTCGAGGACTTCCAACATGAGAGGGTTCAAACCTAAAGTGAGACAAGGCCCGCTGCAATTCACTTGTTCCTCTCTTGAATTGTCCCGCAGCGAGTTGGCTAGGGTGAATTGGCTACGGTGAGTCGACTGGGGTGAGTTGGCCTCAGTGTGTTGTTCCATTCTACTTCAAAGTAGCAATGTGGGGCATTCATGGAAGAGTAAACAAAGACAAGATGGTGGCCACAACTTTACAATTGATCCCTATTCTTTTATGCATGCACAAAGTATCTTTGATTGCATGAGTGAAGTTACCACTGAAGTTGATCTTTTTTACATCTCCTGTGATATCCTTAGTAGAGAAGCTGTTCTCCCATTTTTGCTTTTTTCTCTTGATGCATGCATGAATCTAATTATTTTTTAAAATAAACATCTTGGCTACTTCAGTTAATTCAGTGACCTGGTTTATTAAGTAATTTGGACAAAGGTATCTTATCTCCTTTGGACAACCATCTTGTAAAAGATAATCTCAGCTGCAGAAGGAGGGAAGGCATGGGAAACATTTCAGAAGGGATCCTCCCTAGTTTCCTGGAGAGTAAAAGAAAAGAAGGGGAGAAATATTTTCAGTCTTGCAAGATTCTGTTAATGTAACCTTACAATAAACATACAGTTAGTACTTCTGAGGTAGGCTTGTCTGGCCTACCTTGGAGGATTAAAAAGAGGCCTGTCTGAACTGTTGGCTTCCTGTCTTAGGTATACTCTAGCAGACAACAGACGGAAGGAAGCTGAAGGAAAAGACTTCAGCTGGTATGAAGAGGCCCTTGCAGATGATAACCCCGTCATCATCTATCTCCACGGCAATGGGGGTACCAGGTGAATTTCGTACTCTCAGCAGAAACATTAATGCTGAGATTATCCTATGTGATCTATGTTGGGGTGGAAATCCAGGGAGGGAGAAAGTGGCTTCAAGTCTCTGCCGGACTGAGAAGCAAGGACTTCACACGTCCTTTATTATGGGCAGACTTTTTTACCGTTAGTTGCCAGCGTTCTTAACTTGCAATACAGAGATCCCATAAAATGATGAATTAAGCAGTATGACTTTACTTTTTGTAGTAATTTTATTAAGCATTACAGTTAAAAAGATAAAAACTAATTCAATAAAACCCTAAAAGCACAGAAAAGAAAAAAATAGAAAAAAACAGAAAATGGAGAAAAAATAGGAAAATAATATATATATATATATATATATATATATATATATATATATATATATATATATATATATATATAT